TGATTAAGGTTCGGGTCTGGCCCGCTATCTTCGGGAGGACCTAAACTTCCCATATCAGGATCCGGCTCGGCAAGATACCGGGGAGCGCTGAAAACGTAAGGGTGGCTCGGCTCCGTGGGTGCCCTAACCCAAATCCATTGACCTCTCCAGTCCTTGTCTGAAGAGTCGTTCGGCCACATGGTTAGGAACGGGGGCCGAGACTCAATCCGATACCACCCAGAGCCATGGCATCCGTGCCCACTTTGAATGTTTGGCACTAGCCGATGGAGCCTTTTGAAGCAATGCAGGTTCGGCACGTACCTGAAGAATTTGCAGACCCATAAGTACGTCATTACCCTTCGGATGCTGGTGGGGGTCAGCTGGCACAGGGAAATGTTGTAATGGATCAGCAAGTCTCGGACGAAAACGTCCAAAGGGAACCTCAGCCCATACTGAAGCTGTCTCGTGTACACCCCCACATACCCCGGGGGTGGACGATGGATTCTATCGGATGCTGAGGGCATTCGGCACCAATATCCATCAGCTTCAAAAATGCCGTAGTGCAACTCAATTTGCTCGGCAAATCGATATTGATCGGCGTTCTCTACCCACCATGAGTAGGGGCGGTTCTTTATCATGGCCGAAGCGACTTCGGCATCCTCCCACTCTGAAAACCCTGGGAGGATATCCCAAAGGACAGCGGGAATTTCATCGTCCCGTCCAGAAGCACTCGGCTCATCCGTTCTCTGAGGAGGAGCCGAAGAAATGGGAGTCGCCCTAACCCCTTCAGTAGGGTCAGACTCTGTCCTTCGTCCATTCCAGGTCCCAATCCTGTCCCTGGGATCGGGGATTAGCCTTGCTCTTCTTGGAGCACGGGCTCCACCTCTAACTCCCCTCACCATTGACGAATTTCGAAGGAAAAAGTCGAAAAAGGGGAAAGAGTGCAAAGTCGAAGAAAGATGAAATAAAATCAAAGGAATTTACCTTGATCTGAAGCAAAAGCCGCCGATTTACGAATTGGTAGTGACAAGTCTCAGCTTCTAAGCTTAATGCTCGGGGAATTTGCGAAGTTTTGATGCGGGCTCTTGAGCGTTCTTGAGAATTCTGGGTTTGTGTTGATGAATGAGTGGGGAGAGAAGACGCGCCTCTATTTATATCTCCAGAAATGGGAATTCAAGGAGTCTGCGTTTCAATTTCTCTCAAGCACCCCACTAAGTAACCGTTAAACACACGACCTTGCAGTTAAATCGCCCACTACCCATCCAACTTCCGCAATTATCCACATTAACTGTTGTTATCTCATTAATCATGGGTTAATTACGGTTTAAATTCACATTTTTGGATTAACAAATCATTCACTTCCCTCCTTTTCTGATTAAATCAAACCCGACCCGTCATCCTTCCAAATCGGGTCTGGGGGGCAAGTTGTTTGGGTCCAATTTAGTCCAATTGGGCCTGGTCACTGAATGATCCAATTAAAAGCCCAAGGTTAAGGTTCAACTCTCCAAATGTGCTAAAGTCAAAATCAAACATCCTCAAAGCCATGTCAAGGTCAGTCAACGGCCCAATCAGCTTGGCCCAGCCCAACTGACTTCCGGGCCCAATCCGCCTCCTTCATTAGCCAAGGTATAAAAGCCAACAATTTGGTCAATTCTTGGTAAGACAACAAAGCCTCAAGCAACTAAACTCTTGCACAGCTTTCTCTCTCTAATATACTGACTTAAGCATCGGAGGGGCCTTCCTCGGCGTCCCCCCCGAGGCTAGTTTACGTGTATTTGTTGTGCAGGAAACCCTCGGCTCCTGCGTTGTTCGGACCGAGACCAAGTTCCCTCAAGATAAAAGGATCTTCCGAGATTCGATTGTTTTCATCCGAAACATTTTGTATTATTACTCCGTAGTTGATTACTTGATTGGGGATGGGGTATGATGTATGTAATATTGTAATGACTATATGAGTACACTCACTATTCAGTACATGCTTTAAAAATTGTTACTCCAGTAGTATAGTTTTGACAAACATCCTGATTCTCTTTGGGATTGGGCTTCTTTTGTTTCGGGCCCAAAATCACTCCTTTTAGTCTATAATCCATTTTTAAATATCTTTTTAAAAGTCTGATATTTAAAATAAATAAATTTTCTTGTTTGAACACTTTCTTATTTTCAGTCTATTTCATAATTTCTTTTTTCCGTTTCCATTCATGATCATCAATAAACCTCTTAAAATATTACGCTCCATTCTACATAGTACATATGACATTGTATGTCAACATTTGTGCAAGAAACATACAACACTTTATATTAATAAATTAAGGAATGCATATATTTAATCAACATATACAATTTTGCGTATTCCCTCCTAACTAAACCCGTTGATGAACATACAAACACCCATAAAACAATAGCTTAAAGCTAATATCAACTTGGGGAACCGCGCGCGGTCAACTAGTGTAGATAAATATGTCTAACATATGTTAGCTAGAATATTGGGTAATCAACTAGAATGTAGTACTCATATAGATTTCCTATATTTAAGACGGGTGTTATGCTAGCTATGTATACAATTGTAGTATGATCTCAATTAATGGAAATCAAGGAAGAATTTTATTCCTTTATATAGATATATACATTTGTTCTACAACACTTAATAAAAAGATACAAATTGAAAAATTATGATATCTATTGCAAATTAATATGGAGTACATTATTGCTTTAAAAATGAATCATGATATAACTACTAAATAAGTTTATATATGATGTTTTACAACCTTAGGGTTCGTTTGACATCGCTGTGGTTTTCTGTTTTTTTTTTTTGTTTTTTGTTTTTTAAAAGTATATTATATATGTCACATAATGAATCAAAAATTATTTAGACTTATTAAAATCATGATAATTTTAAAAACCGACAACATAAAAGTGGAAACACCTTTTTCTTATTTCCTGTTTTTGGTTTTTAGTTTTCTGTAACAAAAAATGATGCAAAATAAGCCATTAGCTTTTTGTTTATTTTCCTTTTTGATACACTTGTTTTTAAGGTAGCATGTAGGTCTTCATATATATACTATAAAAATTTAATATATTAATAATTTGGTTTTCATACTAGATGGCTTCATCTCGTAAATAGGAGGCAACTTAAAACATTTTTAAATGGAATGATAAAAACATGATGATATTGTGTGACGTATGCCTTCAATTTATTAAAGACAATGGCTGTTTACAATTTTTTAAGTGGGAAGGAAATTCAAGCGGAAGTCGAAAAAAGAATTGGATGGGTATTTATAAATACAGATAGCTGCAAGCATAAGTGTGATAAAATGAGAAAATATTGGCGTCATTGGAAAGCTTTGAAATCAAAAGAAACTGGTTTAGGATGGAATCCCAAATTTGATAGAATTGATGTCACGAATGAATCGTGGACACAAAATTAAGGTGTGTACACATTAATTTTAAATAGGATTTTCTTATTCATTAAAATAAAATTATATGATATATTTAAATTTAATTTTTTTTAAAAAAAAAAAATATGTAGGAGAATCCATACTTCAAAAAATTTCGTCATAAGGGTATTAATGCAAAGCTTGTAAACAAATGGGATAGTTTATTTGGAGATTCATATGCTACATGGGAATATTGTGTATGCACCTTCAATAGACTATGTTATTAATATTAAAGAGCATAACATAGAACATGAGAATTATGATGAAGAGTATGAAGAAACTCCGAAAAATGGTAACAATTTTCAAAGTGACCAATTTACATCTGATTTAACGAATGATAATTTTTTCCAAAATTTTATGGAATAAGTTGAAAATTCAGTGTTACCAAATTTTGTTGCTGCTTTACAAGTGACTAATAAAGGTGCAAATTCTAGTACTCATGCTTATAAGAAGTCCCAAAATCTACATATAACAAAGAATAATGTTGTCCAAATGAAGTGTAAGAGAAGACAATCAGCAGGATCAACAATGTTGTCTCATAAAATTGGTGAAATGACAGAGTGTTAAGCTTATGGCTCAAAGTAGTACACCTACCGCAAGTACCCAACCATCCTCATCCACAATTACTACATCCACGCAAGTTCTCAATCTTATGGTACAAAACCATATTTTAGAGAAATATTGTGATGTTTGGTTTTATGTTATTTCTGTGATTGAAGATAAACTAAGAGAGAGGTGATTTTGAATATGGATGATGATGAGAGTAGGCTTAGATGGTTGCAATACTTGTATTTGAATAAAGACAATTAGATAAGATCTTTTTAGGTAGTTTTGTTTTTTATCATTCAATATGTTTAAAATAAGCAACTTAATTAGTTATTTGTTGCTAAATTGTATTTGGAGTTATTTGCTCCTAAACTAGTAGTGTTGATAATTGTAATTCGTTTAATTTTCTAATATTTATAAATTTAGTTAATATAATTTTATTTATTTATTTATGTATTTTTTTTCATCACTTGTTATTGAAATGTAAATTACAGATATGGACATCATTGATGACAATAGAAAGTGCAAATTTTGGATTGCAATAGCATATGCTATATCTTTTATATATACTTATTATTGTAAGTATATCCTACTCGATGTGTCAATGCATTTAGAATGAAGCTAAGGTTAATATTGAGATTATGTAACAACTTATCTTCAAAATATGGATTGAAAGCTAGTGGTAACATGTCTATTGTAGAGAAAGTTTGCATTTACACTGGCTCAAGGGGTCTCAAACAGAGTTTTGTGTGAGCGTTTTTAACGAACCGTCAATATTAAGTAGAGGTATTCATGAAGTTCTCTAGTCAATCTCTAGTAGAAAGGTAAAGGGGCTTGCACATGATATTATAAAATCCTATAATCCTAGTTTCAAAGGCGTTGAGACTGGAACGCCTTTGAAACTAGGATTATAGGAACTTATAATATCATGTGCAAGCCTCTTTAGTTAAACGAGTTAGTGTTGAGGGTTTTCGACCCGTTTAGTTAAACGGGTTGACGCGACACGACACGAATACTTAAATGGGTCGCGTTAGTGTTGAAAATTGTAACACGACCCAACCCGCTTAATAAACAGGTCGTGTTCGTGTTTACCCGTTTACCGTTTACCTGTTTATATATATAAAAAAAACGAATATAATAAAATGGCCCAAAAACATAAAATAAACCTAACTTCATTTCTCCTTACATCCGTCATACATCAATGAAATTAACCTAACTATTTTCACATTTCATTCTATGGTCTCTCTCTCTTCACAGCCGTCACACTCACTCTCTCTCAACTTCTCAAGGTAAGTTCCTCACTTCATCTCCTTATGAGTTCATCGTCATTTCATCACCTTCAATTCATTTATTTTTATTTTTGTTCTTCATTTGAGACGTTTCATTGTTTATATATTATTGTATTATTTTTTTGATTTTTCATCTAATTTATTTTAATATTTGTTTTGTAGATCATTCGGATAATATGTCATACTTCATATTCTTAAGGTAATTTCTCATTTTCTAGTATGATTTTTAATTTATTTTGTGTTTATTTGTTTCATGCATGTAGATCTATATAATTTAACTTTTTAAGTTTTATGTTCATGTATTAGTTTCTACATCTTTTCCTAATTAGCTTCCTTAATTCGTGTTTTGTAGATGGATTCTGGACCAAAATCCACTCAAATTGATGGGGAAGAAGGTGACCTAGAGCTTGAATTTGTTAAGGAAACACGAGCTAAATCGGTTAAACAACAAAAGGGAAAGAAAATCGGCCACACTTACAAGCCTGATAAGAATTTTAAGCGATGTAGAAAGCTTACCTCTAGTGTGTGGGTGAATTTTACCATTTTAGAACCTGACCCTGATGGTAATTTGTGGTGTAAGTGTAAGAATTGTGGCCAGATTTATAGTGCTGATAGTAAGTATGGTACTGGTAATTTGCTTCGACATTCTACTAGTTGTAAGAAGAAATCCTACCTTTAATACTGAAGTTTTTCGTAATTTTCTTGCTGTTGCTATTGTTAAGCATGGGTTGCCCTTTCAATTTGTTGAATATGAAGGGATTAGGAATGTATTCTCTTACTTGCAACCTGACGTGAAATTGTTCTCTAGAAACACCACAAAAAATGATATAATTAAACTTTACAATATGGAGAAAGTAAGACTTGGTGCTGCCTTGCATGAAGTTTCTGGGAGAATTTCTTTAACACCTGATTGTTGGTCATCTCTTACCACTGATGGATATATATCACTTATTGCACACTATATTGATGAGTCTTGGACTTTACAAAAAAGGATTTTGAACTTCTCTTTAATGCCCCCACCCCATACTAGTGTTGCTATGTCTGAAAAAATTTACACATTGCTAAAAGAGTGGAGAATTGAGAAAAAAATAATGTCAATGAATTTGGATAATGCTTCTGCAAATGATGTGTTTGTTGATTGTTTGAAAGGAAATCTTGATTTGTTGTGTGATGGGACATATTTTCATATTCGTTGTTGCTGTCATATTCTGAATTTGGTAGTCCAAGAGGGACTTAAGGAGGTTGATGAGGCTGTTTGTAAGGTTAGAGAAACTGTGAAATATTGTAAGGGTTCAGAGTCTAGGAAACAAAGATTTCTTGATTGCGTTGCTTAACTCGATGGAACTCTACTTATATGATGTTAGAGAGTGCTATATTTTACAGAAAGGATTTTGTTCATCTTCATAAAACTGGTACTAACTATGTGCATTGTCCAACAAATGAGGAGTGGTCTAGGCTTGAGAAAATTTTCAAGTTTTTGAAAGTTTTTTATGATTTTACTTGTGCTTTTTCAGGTTCAAAATACCTTACTGCGAATCTCTACTTTCCTAATGTTATGAAGGTAAGATTGTTGTTGAAAGATGAAATGGAAAGTGTTGATTCTTTTGTTAGAAAGATGGCCCTGAGAATGTGGGGTAAGTTTGAGAAATATTGGTCTGATTTCTCTCCCATTATGGCTATTGCTGCGGTTATGGATCATCGATAAAAATTTCAGTTGATGAGTTTTGTATATGCCAAATTATATGATTCAAATGCCTCTTTTGAGGTGTCATGCTTGAAAGACAAGTTATTTGAGTTGTTTAATTCATATGTTACTTCTTCAACTCAATCAAATGGTGGATCATCCACACCTTTTAAAACTAATGATGGTGGTGTGAACTTTGTTCCTGCTGATGGCTTCATGAAGGTATATTGCCTATTTACTTTTTTGTTTATTATTAATTATTATTACTATGATTATTATTTATTAGAATTATTTTTTTTACTTATTGTAAATATGATTAATTAGGACTTTGATGATTTCTCCGGAGGGGAATTTGCTAGTACTCCAAAATCTGAACTTGAAGTATGTTAAATTGTGACTCAAAATCTAGTAGGGCTGACTTTGAACGCTTATATCTCTAAAACTACAACTGATTTTGAGATGATTCAAGTTGGAGGTGATAGCTTGGTTCAAGAGCTTTCCAACGATAGGTCATATGCCCAATTCTAATAAGAAACGAGAAAGTTATGACCGTTTTACAAAAACCTGACGAAGCTAAAAATTTGCAACGAGGCTGCGAGCTATAGCTCTATGCGAGTGAGCTATAGCTCGGCCCTATGAGGACTTGCGGCAGGCATGAGCTAGCTTCCGAGCTATAGCTCGGTAGTTAGGTTATTCCAGGATAATTTATGGAATATTTCCTAAAATTATATCTTTTCTATGACGGTTATTTGAGTATACTTGGGGAACAATCTTAGTGTTTTATTAGGGTTTCCTTGTGTTATAAAAGAACCCTTTAGTTGATCAATTAGATCATACCTTATTGAGCCATTAGATTTAAGACTCCTTGTATTATTCTCTTGTTTCTTTCTCCATTATAGTGAAGAAGCTCTCTAATCCCCCACCCGTGGATGTAGGTCTATTTTGACCGAACCACGTAAATCCATGTGTTGTTTGTTTATCTTCTTTATTGTTTTTCTGAATTCTTATTTTTAATTGATTTGTTCCGCATTAATCAAACCCAATTACACCATTATTTCCTAACAAAGTATTCTTGGAGGAGTCTTTAATTGCTCGTGTCAATGAATTGGACATCCTTGATTTTTGGAAATTAATTCAATTTCGCTTCCCCATTCTTTCTCTTATGGCTAGAGATATCCTATGTATGCCTATTTCAACTGTCGCTTCAGAATCTTCATTCAGTATTGGTGGGAGGGTTTTAGACCCTGTTAGACCATCATCACTCATGGTGTAAAAATTTATACCACCCTTCTCTCTCTACCACTTTCTCACTCCTCCACATCATCTATACCACAATACAATATATTTTCTCCAAAAATCACCCCACCCATGGTATAAAAAAAGTTTACTATTTTGTTTTATGTTTAAAATAACTAATTACTATTTATAAAGTTAATTAAATAAAATAAGCAATTTATGTAGAAAAAAGTGAATTTCAAAAATATATAAAACTACATCAATATGGGTGTCTATGTGTATGTCTTGAAAAATTATGAACAATGGTAATTTTTTCTTAAAATGCAATTGAAAAAAATAAATAAAGATGTATGACAACCAGGCCACATGGCATGACCTGGTTGGTTCATGTTTCACGTGGAACGAAATAAAAGTTTACCATGGGATGGTATATACCATTTGATGGTATAGTTTTATGCCACCAAGGTAGTAAAAATTTGCAACTTTTGGATTAATATTTACACCGTGGTATAAAATTATACCACGAGTGTTGATGCTCTTAGGAGCTCTTTAAAGCCATCTGCTGTGGAAGCATTGATATGTCTAAGAGATTGGTTGTATGGGCAGCAAGGTGATTTTTTTAACTTGTTATTTATTTATATATAAAATTATTGCAGTATTAGTTATGATTCCAATAGCCTTATTCTTGTTTATTCTTCTATTTAGCTGATGAGATTGTTGGGGTGGAGGATATATGTGACAACATCATGAATTTAAAGCTTGATATTGATGACACTTCATGTCCAAGCACTACACCAAGTCCTGTTTCGGGTAGTGCTGGAAGTGGGAGCACTCCTTGTTCAACTTCCAAACCTGCCGTTAATGTTCTTGATTAGGTGATCAATCTCATACCTTTTTTTGTTATTATTTATAAATCATGTTCATTACTTGCTGTTTTTTCATTCTTTATTTATTATTTTTTAACTTGGAATTTTGTTTTGTTAGGTACCCTTGCAAGAGGAGGTGGCTTGAATTGGTGGCATATGAAATTTGGAATTCAAGTGGAAGTTGTCAATCTTGTCGTCACAAATCAGCTTATGGAATGAACATTTTGGTTTTTTTTTGAACAATTAAGTGACATGTAATATTTTGAACAATTAATATTTTGGGCAAACTTTAATTTCTGGTTTGTAATATTTTGGCCTTTTGGGCAAACATGGCTACTATGGTTTGTTTGGCAATGTTGAAAATATTTGGGCCAAGTGAGCCTATTTTTGTGGGTTAATTGAGATAATCAATTTGTTTTTTTTTTTTATAATCAGGTTATATTTACTTAACAGGTCATTTATTATACAGGTTAAAATTTTTAACACGAACACGACCCGTTTATCTAAACGGGTTACACGTGTTAAATTCGTGTTACCCGTTTAATAAACAGGTTGTGTTTGTGTCTAGCCTATATGACCCGTTTAGTAAACAAGTCGTGTCAGAGTTTGGGGTTCTTCAACCCGTTTATGATGGACCCGAACATGAACACGACACGACCCGTTTGCCAGGTCTAAATTCATAAGTCACAATTTGAGAATGTACCTCTGCAAAATAAACAAGAAATTTTTAATCGTTGGCACTCATCCCTTCGAAGTTGTATCGAAAGATCTTTTGGAGTTTTGAAGCAGAGATGGAAGATACTTGTCAAAATGTCAAAATATAGTGTTGAGACACAAATACAAATCCTGGTTGCTACATTTTCCCTACACAATTTTATTATAATTAATTCACCAACTGATCCCCTTTTACGAGTATTGGAGGATTATCCACATTTAATTCCATCATTCGAGCTGCCAGATATTAATCATGCTGGATCAAATTAGTTTAATAGAGAAGGTGATGGTATTGAAATGAAAGCTATTCGTGACCATATAGCTGATAGTTTATGGAAAGCTAGACTCCGTAATTATATATTGTAATAAAACGATTTGGGTATTTTTTCATTAGAGAAACTTTTAGCTTATTAAGCAAATAAAAGTTCTTACTTAAAGGTTTGTATACACTCATTTATTTTAATTTATTTATTAATTTTATAGATTGTACACTTTCCTTTCGGATGTATTTGATAGTAATCAAGAAATTGTGTACTTTATTTTATAAACCAAACCTTAAATTTTTGGTTTTAAAATTTGACTAATAATATAAATATAATTTATGCAATAACATTTAGAAACTCAACAACTAATTTACCAAACATTACTATTTAAAATTAAAACATTCTAAGCTAATAGTTAGTTGTCAGCTTACAGCTAGGTGTACAGCTGACAGCTAACACAACTACTTTTGCCGAATACGCCCATATTTGTACAACAAATTATCTAAAAATTCGTTTAGTGAAAAATAAATTAGATGTTATAGATTGAAATTTGGCTATACATTTTGGTATGTTCTTCAAATTATTGTTGATCATCCTATAAATTCATATGCTCAAATGTTGCGGGTGCATTAGGAACTGAAATTTTTCACATCAAAACTCTAAAAAAAATTTGGATGATCAACCCATAGAAAGATATATATATCAAAACTCTAAAAAATTCAAACTCTAACCGATTTTTCATAAATAAATAAGCGCATTATAAAAAAAAAAAAAAAAAAAACTAGGATCAGATGATTATAGGGAATATTTCAAGCATTATCCCAAACTTGAACCCCACTGTGATCATACACTTAAGTATGGTGGCGTCCAAAGGGAAGGACGCTACAGCAAAAGAGTTGCCAACAAGTTTTAGGAACTTGTAAACCGTTCATAGGGTGAGGGTTACACCCCTTAACGATCCAGGAGATTGTTAACTCCAATAGGTCTGGAACCAAGACAAGAAGTTCGGGGATGAAGGTACAAATCCAAACTAAAAGAGAAAGGATCTGCCCTAATGATAGGCCTCTACTTTATTCTGCTCGTATTCATGTGCGCTTTCTGACTAACATGCAATCAATAGGTTAACCCTAAACCTGTTTAATCTATGTTGGTTGAATATTAATGCACAAATAAATCTATTATTGGCGATCACTTGAATTATAATCATATTAACCCTAAACAAGATTATTAATTATCTTATTAAGCGTGATTACAAGTACAAATTCCCTTTAAACATGCATAAAAGGCGTGATCAAGCAATAACAATAATAAGAATCAAGCAACATGATAATAATCATAATAATTATAACAACAATTATAAAAATAATCATAATAATAATATAAATAACCATGTTAAAAATAAAGCATAATAATAGCAAGACCCTAGGCATGATACTAACAAGATTAATAACAAACCCTGCATGTCACTAAACATCAAAGATCAAAGCTTTAGCCCTAACATGATATTAGGAAAGAAAATAGGAAGCAACATAGAAATCATAATTGATATTAAAAACTTATTCTTTACCTTAAACATGATACTAAGAAAAGCATCCTAACATAATACTAGGAAAAGCATCCGAACATGATACTAAGAAAAACATCCTAACATAATAATAGGAATCAAAATAACAATCTAGGCATGATTTCTGTATCATAATATCAATTAAACAATTAAAGAACTTACTTGGATGCCTCGTATCTCTTATTAATAACAAAATACACGCATTAGTAACTTCAAGGAAAATATAAAATCAAAGAATTAAATTAGATAATTGAAATAGAGATTTGGGACCAAACCCTCAGAAATATCAAACCTTTCATATCTAGGGCGAAGGCAACTTCGAACTTGGTTAGGTGTGTTTAGAGCTAGTATATGAGGAATTTTGTTTGTAAAAGGCTAGGCTAGAAAGAGGGAGATAGAGAATAAGCTTTAGCTTAGAGAGAGAGAGAGAGAGAGAGAATTAGAGAATACAGGTTGAGAGTTGTTGAAAAACGGAGGTTCAGGGACCCTATTTATAAGAAAATAGTCCGGAATCGATAAAAACGAATCAGAGTTCGAAAAGGAATAAAACATCCTCTTGTCGCCAACGATAGGGTCTTGTCTCCAGGCAACGATTTTGTCGCCAGGTGACAGGCTTTGTCGCTAAGCGACAAACCTGTCGTTTGGCGATGCATGACATTTTTTGCGGATTTTGTTTTTATCATATCGTTTGATCCAGAATTCCAAATAAGTTATATAATATGTCGTTATAAATATCTTAAAGTCTACTTTCTAACCAATTGGAATTAGATTAAAATCTTTTGTAGATAAAAAGATATGGACGAAATAGTGGAAGGGTGTTAGTTTTGGATAGAGTTTTGTATCTCATTCATATCTTTTTCGTTATAGCTCGGAATTAATATTATAATATATCATTGGAAATATAATTTCAATATCTATCCAACCATATAAGATTTGAATAAATATTATGAGGCAAAAAGATAATATCTGAATATATTCCATTTCGTACAAAACAAGGATTCTCAAAAGGAGTAGTTTTATTCAATTTCAAACTCTTTGAAACATTATTATCAATCCTAACTCCATTAGGATTTAAGAGAATATTCTAGAGTATTCTAGAAGACTATAAAAAATCTTAATAGCTTTAGGAATGATAATTAATAATAGGCCCTCCTCTAGATCATTGGGTCGTATGTAAGAACCAAACCGGACCCAGTTTAGTTTTTTTTGCCATAACTTCCTCATTATGCATCGGAATTGGGCTTATAATATATCGTTGGAAAGCTCTTTTTGAGCTCTATCTAACTACACTATTATTGGACCCTTATCATAGACCAAACTAACTGGAATTCACGTTTTTCATAAATAGGGTAAGAAAAGAAATATTTTCAAAAACAGAAAGAAGAGATATTTTAATAAAAACATCCTCATCACTAAATTTTTCACACTTTCACCTCGTTTGATAATCAAATGACATGAAATGTATTCATCACTGGGTTTGGTTTTGGGGAGACACATTTGGGTGTCTACAATGATTCTCCAAATTCTCACCCAATCATAACATACAATGGAGATCGTGTGTTTTTTTCTTTAATTTTGAAGATGAAAAGTAGTGTTCAATAATAGTCTTTTTTTATTCCTTGAAGTAACCCACTTTTCAAAGTCTTCTAGAGTATGAGTAAAGTAAAAGTCCCTAACCTTTTTTGTTATCAGTGATATTACCAAGTCAACCTTGTAGTCCCTAAACTATTCTCTTTAATCAATTAATTTGATAAGTCCCTAAAGTACTGTATTCAAATAATAATTAAACTTTGTCATATAATTTTAAATGGTCCCTTACCTATTAATGACAAGGAAAGTTCCCTAAACTATTTGGCCGGAATTAATACTCCTTGGTGGCTAAGGGATCAATTTGCCTCACTCAATAGTTAAGGGACTAAAATACTACAAATACGTTTGTTTTAGGACCGCGTTTCACATCAACTCAAGTATTTTCAATAATCCACAATTCAAGCTGCTATGCAATGGTATATGGTAGCCAACAAAGACCTATAAACCTAAATTATACATCTTAAATTTCTCACCAATTTCATGGGAGCTCATCTTCACAAAATGTCCCATTATTTCCCATGTCCCAACATTTTACTTAACCATGAATCAATCTCCTGGAGTAAATGTTAGTAGTACTGTTTCTCCAATAGAAGATGTATGAGAAGCTCAACATCTAGAAGATCTCGATGATGATAAGACATTACAAGAGAAGACCCCAATGATAAAAAAAAAAAAGCTAGCTCATGGATTATATATGAAAATAAGACACTTGTTTTAGGCTACATCAATGCAGGAGGGAACGTTATCGTAAATACAAAATGAACTTAAACCGGTTTTATGGGCTGCATGTAATACCCTGTATTTTCATACGTATTTTCTAATTAATTAATTAGAAATTATTTTATAAAAAGGGTATTTTAGTAAAATTATTATTTGGAACCAAAATAATATTTGAATTTTGGCGCCAAAAGTATTTTGAAAACTAATCATTATTTTGGACAAGATTTATTATCTATTTATCTTTTTTTAAAAACCAAAATATTTACATATTTGGGATATTTTAATTAAAGTAAAATAATATTTTATTAATTATTTTAGATGGCTGAAAATTCCCAATAATTAGCTATGATTTCAAATTTTCCATGTATGGAAAATCTGATTTTTTTTCTTGGTTATTTACTGGTGAATAATTGGTATTTAACTAATTAAATAAATATTTATTCTATATTATTTTACTCCTTAAAATCGCACAAAATCTTCCTAAATAATCCTAGAGAAATCTGAAAATCTGAGCTATGGGAAGCTCAAGATTTTCGGCCCTGTCTAATTATTTTATGGGAATTTATTTTGGTAAAGTTGTATTTTTAATTATCTCCCTAAATCTCTTACTTTCCTTAATTCTATTTCTCCATCTTTTTAATATTTGATCATCAAATTCTCTTTCCTTTTATTCTTCTTAATCATTCCCCAAGTAATTCCAATTTTCTTATTATTTTTAATGAAAAACATACATTCCATATTTAATTATACACAATCACCTTAATATCAAAACCTTCCTTAATTCTTTTACTCACTTCTCTAAGTAATCGCTTAAACCCTACTTACTATAATTCTTCCTACATTTTCCTACCATGATTCATGCTTACACTAGCCTATAAATACCAGGGGTGTTCAAAAAACCCGACCCGATTGTCCCGACCTGATTTCCTGATGACCCGGTAAATACCCGATGGAAAATTTGGGAAAAAAACTATTTTTTCGGGATGGGTATCCGGGTCGGGACATGGGCCGCATTTTTTATTACCCGGGTACCCAATTTCCCGAAAATAAATTAATACAAATATCTTTTCTAAAAAAAAAAACACTCTCTCAAACCGAGTCCAGCCCACTTAAAGTTTAGATATTCAGTTAGTGACTTAGGGTTTCTCTCTCTCTTCTGTCAGTTAGCACTGCTTTCTCCCTCTCTCTTCCTTGAACTTTTCTGATTCTCTTTGACTCTCTCTCTTCCTGCCTTCCTTCTTCAAGCCTTCTGAGTTCCTTCAATTCACAGATCCTATCTTCAAGCGACTCAATTCTCACTTCATGCGAAATCAAGTGACTTCAAGCGACTCAACCCTTCAGTTTGCCTTCGTTAATTTTGATGCCATTTATTCTCCTTTGTAATTTGGAGATTTTGTCTACTTTTCAATTTTTCATGTTTTGTTCTTTTATGTTATGGGTCTTCAATTGTACTATATTTTGTTCACTGGTTGTTTTTCATTCTCTTTATTTTGGGATTCCTAAATATTTTGGATCTATTTCATTGGATATTGTTCTACCCCTTTCGCTTGTATGCTGATACTATTTCGGATTCACGTATAAATACATAAATTTTTTACAAGTATAATGTTATTTAAAAAAAAAAAAAAGAAATCCGGGTACCCTATGTCCCGATGTGAATAATTCGGGTACCCGGAACCCGGGTACCCGAGATATTCGGGTCGGGGCATGGGACAAAGGGACAACTACCCGAAACTGTACCCGAAAACCCAGGTACCCGGATTTGAACACCCCTAATAAATACCCCTTCAATTCATGATCAAACCCTCACTCAAATTCTCATAATTCTCTCTTATTTCTCTCTCAAATTCTTTTTTTATTTTCTTTGCTCCTCCTTGCGCACCACCACCTCCTCTCCGACAGCCACTACCGCCGTCCTCCACCTTCCGGCACCATTTGCTGCCGCTAGCAACCCTTGTAGCTCCCTTCTCATCTTCTGCTTGGTTTCTTATCTTTTCTTCTTATTTTCTCTTATTCAATTAATTATAATTATTATGGGGAATTTATAAAAAAAATAAATTATTATGAGTTGTTTTAATTATATAAAATCATATTTTTAATGGTGGTTATGATAAATTAATTTAAAAGGTTCATGTACATATAGTTGAGAGGTTTTTAGTTTAATTATTTGTGATTATTTGTTAACCTTGTATTAATTAAGGTTATATTTATTTGTAGGGTGTGTTCGATCAAGATTCTTGAGGTTCCTTTTGTGTGGTTTTGCTAAGAAAGGATCAAGGTATGGTAAGTGGTTAGATACCTTGAAAGAGATTAGTTTGAATAAGCATGTTTGAATGATTTCTTATGATGATTGAATTGAATTAAATTATGATTATGAAATAAAAGTACGTTTAATTAAATTGGTTTTAATAAATAAATTGGAGTATTGATTTTATATCGTGTTTTAAATAAATTAATGTTTAAAAAGGTTTAATATTGAAAGCAAGTGGAATTTAATAAAAAGGAGTTTGAATTATTATTACTATTAAAAGTTGGAAGTATTGGGTTTAAAGAGGATTTATTGAATTATTATTATTAAAGTTTTATAAGCATGTTAGTAATCCCACTATGCGGATTTGGTTTATTTGATAAGACTTTGGACTTTGTATGACCGAGTCTTTCCTCAAGAATAGCCTTGTAATATAAGGAGACTAGATTTGGGGGTGTGCACACTTGGGAGAGGAATTAGTTTTAAGTAATTGGAATTGGATTTACTGGATATTAATATTGGTTATTGAAATTGGTTTTGGAATTTTGAGTTGGAATTATTGATTTAATTATTGGAATGGATGGAATTGATTTCAAAAGCATGTTTGCTAATTAAATTGAGTTAAATTATCTCACACTTATCGTACTTAGCATATTTTGCTAATTTGTATTTCTTATTTTGTTTTGGTTCGCCCTGTTTACCTTAATGGTAAGAAGTGTTGACTAATTTCAGGTGGAGTCAATAATTGAGCATTTGGAGTCCCGGGAATGGTTTCACCTAGATTAGGATTTGTAGGTCCTTGTATTTATTTTTGAGTACTCATGACAATGGTTACTATTTTTAGTTTATTATTAAATAAAGAAGAGTTTTGAAGTTTCCGTTGCAAAGTATTGGTTTATTTAGTAAGTTTGATTGGCCTTGCGTAATCACGCGGCGGTAATACACCTAAGTCTATCTCTACGGTGTAATTATATGTATTATACTAGTATTTCCGTAGAGGGATATTTGGGGGTGTTACAAATTGGTATCAGTTTTCAAGGTCCTAAAAAGATTAAAATTGGAATAAAAAAATGGTAGGAAGACTTAAGAAGGGCATATAGGATAGATAGAGTTTCACATTTGTGTGAGAGTCAAAAGCTTTATTTTTATATAAAACTATTTTCCTATTTGTGGAAAGATGAATGAGAAAAGTATGCTCGAGTTTTCTACAGAGGCCTATAATGGGTACGAATCTCTGTCTAGGAAAGGCTCGCCTCAACGTTGAGACGCTGGCTCGACCGTCCTATAATCATGATTCAAGTACGTATCTATTATTTTCGAAAATAAAAATAATTGAAATTATTTGAAACTTGAGTATGCGATTATGTGTGCATTAAAGTTGGTGTTAAAACACCTTAGGGAATGGTCAAGAGGTCCGAAATTCTTGGAGTTATTACCCATGGTTGGGTGATCTTGAGTTATGCTTGGTTGCTTGAGTTATGAATTTCTTATTGCAAATGGATTTTGAATTGAATTTTTTGTGTGATTTGAAATTTAATTAATTGTTTTGCATGTGTGTGTGAAACAGATGGAAAAGATGGATGAAATGAGACACCATTATTTTGAAATTCATTACTTGAAAGAGAGTGGAGTCTCAGTTAGTGATTTCATGACTGGAATTTGTACTTTAGCCTTGACCCTTAATGAGAAGTTTCGTGAGGAAGTCTTGACCCAACAACCTTGGATGGCTCTTTTGGCCTTGGCCCATTTGCCTAGAATTGAGAGATATCAACCTCTTTTTGATAAATATGGGGACGTGATCAAGGAAAATGGGATGTAGAATGAGAAGCATCATCATGAAGGGAAATGGTTGGCAAGCATGTCTAGCCTTAAGAGGGACTTGCACTGTGTGGAGCGCAAGTATGAACCTAGGAGAAAAGCTGTGAAAATTCCCAAGCCCCCAAAGAATTGCACCTATGGAGAAAATGACCAAATGTACTACCTAATTACCCAAATGTTTTTCTCTTACCCAAGGAAGCGTTATAAATATATGGAATCTAGTGATGAATCCATACCACCTCTTAGTAGGGGCAAGCATTACCGTTCTCCTACCCAAACTCCAAGCTACAAATCTTCAAAACGGCCTAGCCCAAAAGTCCATTTCCATGTTACAAAAAGGCCTAGAACTCGTTCTCGAATTGCAAAAGAAAGAGCCCAAAGCCCCAACGCTTCTTCAAGCTAACCTCATGGTGATGTAAGCCCAATAAAAAGCCTAAGTTACACTCCTAGCCCGGACAGAAATATAAGTAAATCTGTGTCAAGCTCATCAGGCCTTATTCTAAGCTATAGTGGTTACAACCCAACTCTCATGGCCGAACCAAGTAATAGAAGTGATGATCCAGATTATGATCCTATTGAAGATGGTTATGCTCGTAGTGTTGCTTGATTTAATGATTTTGAACTATGGTTTTTGTTTAATGTTTCAATAATTGTCCTAAATGACAAAGTTGTATTTTCATTTATTATTAATGAAATAAAATGAATTATTTGAAATTTCTCTATGTTATTAAGTGAATTAAATGCTTATATGATATAACTTGTTTTAATTTTTAAAGTATGATAATTAAACCCAGGAAGTATGTCTGCAAGAATGAGAGACCAAGTGAGAAATAAGCGCACTGGTTCCAAAGTTGGGAAGGTCCTTAGAAAGCTAACCCATATTACTGGGAACATCACGAAAGTGGTGAACAAAGGAAACCAAATCTTTGACCTTGACTCTTATAGTGAGGTTTTTAAGAGATTTGTTGCAGCCAAACCACCTGTTTACTTGGGAAAGAAGGACCCTGCCAGTCTTGAAAACTTGATTAGGGAGTTTGATAAGTTGTTTGATGCTATCAATTACCCAAGTGAGTTGAGGATGAATAATGGGGTTTACTACTTAAGGGAGGAAGCTACTTTATGGTGGGTCCAAAGAAAAGATGAGCTGTTGAAAAAGCCAAACTTTGGGTGGGATGAGTTTAAGGAAGCCTTGAGAAAAAAGTTTTACCCTTTCTACCTAAGAAAGCAAAAGTGCATGGATTTTACCAACTTAAGAATGGGGAACATGTCAATCAATGAGTACTACAACAATTTCAATGAGTTAGTTAATGAGGTTTGCCCCGGAAGTAGTCCCTACTGAAACCATCAAAGCTCAGAGATTTGAGCAAGGCCTAACCTTGACCCTCCAAGGGAAGCTAGGGGGAGTGACTTTTGAGACCTTGGATGAAGTGTATGGCCATGAAGCCCACCTGTAAGGAATCAAGGGAAGGGAAATGGAGCATGCTAGAGAGAAAAGGAAGAACCTGAACTCTTCTCACGGGGGTGAAAAGAGGCATAAGCCTAATGGGAGCTACCAAGGGAATTCTGGGGATAGGAGAGACAACAAGGGGAACTTTGGGAAAGGGAATGGAGGCCATTCGTCCAACCATAAGGGGAATGGGAACCAAAGGGGTGAGAGACCCAAGAGGAAGTATTTCTACAAGAGGTGTGAAAAAGACCAACCAGGGAAGGACTGTGAGGGGAACCTGATAACTTGTCGTTACTGTCGGAAGTTGGGACACCGTGAGTACGAGTGTTTCAAGACGGAAGCTGATGTTAAGTCTGGGAAAGTGAAAGAGTCTAGTGCACCTAGTAAACCACCTATTATAGAAGACCTACACCCAAGGCTGGAACTAGTAGCAGTGCGGGAGGTACCCCAAAAGGTCGTGTGTTCGTGATGAATAGCCGTCGGGCTGAGTCTGCTAATGATGTGGTAATTGGGGTTTTCATTATAAGCTCTTCTCCTGTGAAAGTCTTGTTTGATTCAGGAGCGTCTCATTCGTTTGTTTATAAGAAAGTAGTTGGGAGTCTCGGGTTAGAAAGTCCTGAGTCAGTTTCTCTAGATGTGTCTATTCCATTTGGGGAAGTGAGGAGTTGTTCGAGATTGTTTTTGAGTGTGCCTATTTCCATCTCTGGGGTAGAATTTCTGGCAGATTTGATCGAGTTTGATTTGAATGACTTCGATGTGATTCTGGGTATGGATTGGTTGGGAAAGTATGAGGCAAAGATTGATTGTCGGCTGAAAAGGTCACTTTGACTAGCCTAAGTAAGACCAAAGTAGTATATAAAAAGGGAGAAAAGTTCAAGATTGAGAATCGTGTCTACAATTCAACTACAGAAGCTGTTTAAGAAGGGTTTTCCTTTATTTCTGTGTAGTGTTCAAGAGATTGAAAGTGAGGAAAAGAAAGGTAAGGAGAGTATTTCTGTGGTAGAAGAATTTCTAGATGTGTTTTCAGATGAGATTCTGGGTATGCCACTAGTAAGGGATGTTGAGTTCACTATCGATCTAGTTCCTGGAACTAGACCTATTTCTAAGGCTCCATTAGGATGGCTCCAGCCAAGTTGAGGGATTTGAAGAGTCAGTTGGATGATTTATTGGAGAAAGGTTACGTTAGACCTAGTTCATCACCCTGGGAAGCCCCAATATTGTTTGTGAAGAAGAAGGATGGAAGTATGAGGTTGTGTATTGATTATCAGGAGTTGAACAAGGTGACAGTGAAGAATAAGTATCCATTACCAAGGATCGATGATTTGTTTGATCAGTTGAAAGGAGCATGGGTATTCTCAAATATAGATTTGAGATTGGGTTATCACCAGCTGAGAATTGCGGAGCAAGATATTGCAAAGAATGCTTTCGGGACCCGTTACGGTCACTATGAGTTCACAGTTATGCCATTTGGTTTGACCAATGCACCTGCAGTGTTCATGGATTTGATGCATAGGATTTTCAGGCCATACTTGGACAAGTTTGTAGTGGCGTTTATTGATGATATTTTGATTTATATAAATGATGAAGAAGAACATAAGGAGCATTTGAGACAAGTGTTATCATGTTTAAGGGAGCACCAGTTGTATGCCAAGTTATCTAAGTGTGAATTTTTGTTAGAGAAAGTAGCATTTTTGGGCCATGTGATTTCCAAGGGCGGAGTTGCAGTGGACCCAAGAAAGATTCGAGCTATGAGTGATTGGCCAACACCAAAGAATGTGTCAGATGTAAGGAGTTTCTTGGGTTTGGCAGACTACTACAGAAGTTTTGTGAAAGATTTTTCAAGGATTTCAAAGCCCATGACAAGTTTGATGAAAAAGGAGCATAAGTTCTTATGGAATCCAGAGTGTGAGGAGGCGTTTAAGATCTCGAAAGAAAGGTTAAGCACATCACTTGTGCTGGCTTTGCCGATTGGAAGTGATCTATATGATGTGTATAGTGATGCATCGAGATTTTGATTGGGATGTGTGTTGATGCAAAATCAAAGAGTGATTGCGTATGCTTCGAGGCAGTTGAAGATTCACAAAGGGAATTACCCAACCCATGATTTGGAGTTAGCTGTAATAGTGTTTTCCTTGAAGATTTGGAGACGTTACTTGTATGGGGTGACTTGTAGGATTTTCACGGATCATAAGAGTTTGAAGTACATTTTCACCCAGACAAATTTGAATGGGAGGCAGAGACGATGGTTGGAGTATATGAGTGATTAAACATTAGATATTCAGTATCATGAGGGAAAGGCGGAAGATGCTTTAAGCAGGAAGTCAAAACATTTGATGAATGTCATGGTAGTGCCAGACCAGTTGTGTGTGAAGGAGTTATGTCTTCGATAAGTGCAGATACTAGATATATCAAGGATCACTATTATGGAGATAATAAGTTTGTTCTTTGGATTGTCATTATCTGTTGCTAGACTATGATCAATGATCTTTGGACTAGTCAAATAGTCTAAAGCCCATTAGAATGGATCCTATGAGGTCACACACAAGGGTATTAGGTTAAGAAAGTTAGAGGCCCATTTATGAGCCTCATGAGTAAGTAACTAATCATGAATTGGATTGGGCTAGCATAGTTAGATTAGAGCTAGGTTTTGGGATTTATCATGGACTCTTATTTAGAGATGATATCTATAAATAAGATTCATGCCTAGGGTTGTATGAGACAACACAATTAACAATTAATTGTGAATCAATCAACCAGAAATCCCAAAACCCTCACACTCTCTCTCGAACCTCGCAACCCTATTTTTTGAAAATTTCGAAACCCTAAACCCTAATTTGAGAAATATGTGTTTTGGTTTTGATTTGATTTGATAGTTATGTGTTTAAAGAATTTAATCTATTTGATTTCATGCTGAATTATGAATTTTCATGAACAAATTATTTAATTTAAGAGTTAAATTAAATTGGGGATTAATTTCATGATGAACCCTAATTTCAAGATTGAATATGATTAAAATTTGAAATTATTTGGACCATATTAAGATTAATTTAATTTTAACAAAATATGTTTTGTTTTATTTAAATAAAAAAAAAGATTTTTAGCAGCAGCAACCGCGGCTAGGTGGCGCAACCACGGTGGCTGCCGCTGCAGGTGGCTTGGAGGGAGGTCTGGGATGGGGCAACAGTTGGGTCAGGGAAGTGCAGCAACAGTAGCACTGTGCTAGGGTTGCACTGCACTGCTGCTGCTGCTATGCACCACTGCAGAGCAGCGTACACCTCACAGTGTACGACCACCGTGGCTAGCTTTGGCTGGCCACACCACGGTGACTGGTGCACGGATTTCAAAAAAATAAAAATTATTTTATTTTAATAAAAAATCAGATTTTGAAATTAAAATTTAAAAGATAAGTTTTGATTTTGAAAAGATAATTAACAAAGTTAAAGTGGTTAATTTTGTTAAGTTTGGATAATAATGGAGCAAAAGATTCTATTTGGATAATAATTGATTTAATGAGATTATCCCCTAATTAATTTGGATAATAATTGATTTAAAATTATGTGATTGGCTAGGTAATCAATTAGGATAGAATCTCCTAAATTAGTTAGGATAATCATGAAAAATAAATATGATTTATCTTCCATAATTAAAATATGATTTGATTTTATCTCTTACTTAAAATAAAATATATGATATTTTATAGTTGGTTAGAAATAATATATGATATTATCTAATTGCAGTGATAAATTAAAATATGAGATATTTTTAGCCATGTTTCCTTAATTGTGAACATTCGATGTTGTAGTTTAGGAACGCATGATGAGTGATTTATTATGTGGCACTTTATAATATATGATATTATTTATTGTTATATATAGACTTGTATGGCCCATAGATTCTAAATACGATATGCGCATCATTTTGTATTTTTGTAATCTAAATACGGTCTGCGTACCGTTAAGTATTTTTGTAATTTATTTTATTTTATTTAAGTAGTAGATAGAATAGAATAATATTAAAGGTTATAGTTGATCCAAGAAGCCTATGGAGTGGAGGCCCAAAGGAATAAGATGGATGAGATCCATGAAGATTCAAGTGGGAGCATTTTCTACTTTATTAGTTTTCTTAGGATTAAGGGGCCATACTATGTCATGTTTTATTTATGCATTAGTAGATAATGCATGTTAGACTTATTTTAGGAAATTTTAATAAATACCACCATCTATTGTTGGCAAAATTGGAAATACCACCTCAAGTTTTTTTTTTTTGTATTT